TATATTTAAAACATTTTTAAATTGAGAACACACATTAGAGAAATCCTCAAAAAAAAAAAAAAATTATGATTGTCTTGGAAAAAAATTACTAATTGTAATTGTAAGTATTTCAGTTTTCCAATTTACTAGATTTTAGAATGGTTTGGGAATTGGGGCTTTTAGAATTTTAATGCAGTCAAGGGAATGATTGTGTTTTCAGATCTCTAAGCAAAACCAACAAAGGGGAATGGGAATGATGACACTGTTTTCCATTTTGGGTTGAGCAAAATTCTTTTATCATGCCTTCGTAGAAGTACATAAACACTAAAAGGTTGCTACGTTACTACAGTACGTTGGTAGTAGTACTACAAAATTTTCTAAATGACAAATTTTCTCCATTAACAGAAATACAAAGGATATTCCAATTGTGATTTTACAAATTATTCACAAGACTTTGTTGGTAAGGACTAAGGAGAGTTGGTATGAGTAGGTATTTTTCTTTCCAATAGGGAAGTAGATAAAGTATTTACTCAAAACTTATTAATTGAGTCAATTTTAAAGATGAGCTAAAGTGATATTCCTCCTATGTATAAAAAAGGCACAACCAAAGTGTCTAATTTTTAGCACGTACTTAAGTTAGCGTTTTGTAAAAGCTAAAAATACATATACATATGAGAATGTTTTTTGGCAAGCGAATTCAAAAATTAATTATTGATTTTGGAGGAAAAATGTTTTGCATTTAAGGGTCTTTCCTCATCAATAGTTATAATTTGTGCAGTTGATATTAGATTAGATTGCACAATACTTTTTTTTTTTATTTTTATAGATATTCTTCAGCTTTGAATTTTTGCATTTTATGTAACATTAATTTTAAAAAGATATTTTAAATAAGTGAACCAAACAAAATATTTATTTAAATAAATGGCGAAAAGGATAAAAAGGAGGAATGTAAGGAAGGGGAGGGTATTTGTTTTCAGAGGCGGCCCAACATTAGTATCAGACGATGATGATGAATTGGCAAGGTGATTGGACCATGGACCTTAATCTGCACCATTTAAGGGAAGCCCAATCAAAAGATAACTTGACGCTGCAGACAAGGGAAGCCCAATCAAAACTCAAAAAAAGTAATAAATTATTATTGAAAGATCCCGCCGGGAGTCGAACCCAGGTCGCTGGATTGAAAGTCGAGAATGCTGACCCCCACACCATGGAACCAGAACATTTGGAAGTTTCTGTTTACTTATATAGACAATGTATATGTCCATGTGGAGATTATAATCACATAATCCCGTGATTTTAAAATGTATTATTAATTTTTACACTTCTCAATGAATCCAATCACATAAGGTGTTGAATTGCTCAAATTTTTAATCTAATTAACCGAATTCATTTTGCACAGAAAAAAAAAAAAAAAAAGAATTTCGTACTTCTTTATGTGTTATTCATTTACACTTACTATTATTTACCCCCCCTTTTTTGTAACATGGTTAATAAGTACAAGTTGTCAACTCTATGATGAAATTACCAGACAAATTTAGTCTCAAAAAATTGCTCCAGTGTTCCTCACTGAATGCCTTATTGGTCAGTTATTTATTTTGTCACAACAAGTGAACTAATTTAAGTTAATTATACCTACTAATTATAAAATTCTGACATGAGTTCAATATTTATTTAAACCATTGTAATATAAAACAGTTAACTTTTTAATATACCCAAAAACAAAAAATTAATGTTCAAGCAAGACCTTTCTACTAGATTAATGCAAGAACAAGGGGTAGTGGATTCGTGTTGACAGACTGGATCATAAACCCAAGGGAATGTGCAAAGAGTGCGCTAAATTGAAGGTTTCCGTTTTCCGGCCTGTTTTTCATGAAGTCTATATTTTATACATGAATGAAGAGCTGTTTAATTGATGTAAAGAGATAAGTCTTTAATATCCCCTGTTGTTGGGTAAAATCTACTTTTGAATTGTAAAGGGCCGAGTATCCCTTATGCTTTTATAAATAAAATTTGCTGTTTAAAAGAAAAATATAGAATTAAGAGCATTTCCTGTACTTTTATAAATAAAATTTATCGTTTAAAAATATATACAGAATTAATTGCGGGTGTATAATTTGTTACACATTAACAAACCCCTAGACAAACTTCTAGATCATCTAAAAATAGCTCCTTACCAGAAAGCAATTGTAATTAAAGCTACCTGATAATGCTATTTGGTTGGGCAATCATCATTCAAGTAAAATGAAAAAGATATGCTGCTTAGCCAATAGTTTTCATACACCATAACAACCTAATAAAAGGTATATCTAAATTCAATATTTCTTTCTAGGGTTTGCTCAATCATCAATTTCCCACTTAGCAATAATAAAGCAAGAACTAAACGCAGTAACTTGTGGAATATATTGATATGTATTGAGCATATGACATATAAATCTATAATCTTTTTAGAGACGTAGACGGCACAATGTTGGGTTGGTACGTATCCCACCATCACACAAAAAGGGCCACCTAAATTAGTCATCTAAGGAGAAATTAATTCCTACCCATCTAAATCATCGTTGTTAAGATGAGTACTTCTAATTATTTACACATATAGACGTACCAAAGAAATTTCAACACTTCAAGTCTTCAAGTGATCCTTCATTTTTTTTTTCTTGAGAAGACAAGCGATCCTTTGTAGTAGTGTCAGGTTCTCTTGAACTTCCCTTGAACTACTTATTCTAATACTAGATCAATTATAATAATCTTTATACGACTGAAAGCAAATTAGTGACAGTCATATAATATTTTGTTTTTCTCTGTTATTGGGCTTGTATTCTTGATATTTATTTATGAAGTTTTGTCTTTCATAAAAAGGTAGAATATGGTATTCATCTATCTTACCTTTCAAAAAAAAAAAAAAATTCACTTAAAAGTTATATCATCCAATAAATTCTCATTGAAAAACTAAAATTTTTTATTTTAAAACATGAATTAGATTTTTTTTTTTGTTTTTTCTTATGATATTTTATTAAAATAATATAGTTGTAGATTAATTTTTTTCTTAATTTATAAGAGATAAAGTGAATAAACATTGATTTCATAATATAATATCTTTTAATTATTTTACTTAATTTATTTAGCTTACTGAAATTAATAATTTAATATTTTAGTTTCTTTTTTTCTGCCAATACGTGCATGCCACATATGCTATTTTGAAAATTTTTATATATTTTTTAATGGATATGTGACGGGAAATGTATCGGAGAGTGGTACTTCCTTTTATTCTTTGCGTCGTACTAATTAACAGAGTAGGGACAACTTTGGATAATTTTATAGTCTAAAGAATAAAATGAACATTTGTTAAAGAGTACAAGTATAAAAAATGGCAATAACCGCATTAAATAGAGATTTCAAGTTTCATGTTTAATACAATGGAAAATGATGTGTGCACACCCGGATCCCACACCCGGGTGTGCACACACCATATAAACAAAAAAAAAAAATGCTCATTACCCGGTGCAACTTTTTTTTTTTTTTTTATGTGGGGGGTGTACATTCAGATCCCACACCTGGATGCGCACCCATCAATGTCCTAATACAATATATTCCTAAATCAATATGGAGATTTAAATTATGTAAAAGGCAAGCTAATGTACCCACTTAAAATCTTTTAATAGTATAAAATGTATTTCCCAATAATATATCATTAATAATGAAAAATAAATTGAACAATATAAAATATAAAACTTTCCTAATTAATTAAAATTTAAGATTATTACAAGAATGTCATGTGTTGGCCCTTTGTTCAGCTATTATACAGTGTTTTTACTACAACTGATAAATCAATCTTCGCACCCAACTTAATATTTGAATATGAAATCTCTACATTATAATATTAGGCTCTTAGCTAATTAATTGAATTACTTCTTTAGAGACTTTAACTATTAATTAGTCCATTCCGTACACAAAATTAATCACATATGGGATATCTAATCGAGATACCCAAATTAGAAAAGAATTGCAGAAAAATCAGTTCTTCTTGATAATTAAAAATGCTTAAAATTATAATAAAAAGATTTAAATACCTTTTATAAATTATTACGTAAAAAATATTTATTAAGAATATTTAAATTATTATATAAACAGTCATGACATTTAAAATATTATCAAGATATTTTGACTTTTATTTTCTCGTATAGAAATGCAAAGGCTAGCTATATTAATTTGATGAATTGGCCAGCTAATTATAGTCATTCCTCTTGAGAAAGTACATATATAAACACACGAGACCAAAAAATAAAACAATTCAAAATTAATCTTGCAGGTTTTAACTTTTCAACTGTTGCTTATTTAGTACATGTTATTTACGCATCTTATATTAGTTGATCCTAACTTTTAAATTAATCAAGCTATATAAAGTATATGAAGGTTTCCGTGATGTGACTCTAGTTTATTAGGTTTGGATTAAGTTGCATGAGTTTGTCCTATATATGAATGATTTGAAAAAAAAAAAAAAGGAAGAAAAATAATTCTTTCACACCCACATCTTCTCTATATTAATATGTCACACCTAATGTGTTTGAGATTATAAGAGAGTTTTGGATGGGATATAAAAGTAGGACTCATGTTTATCCTGACAAACCTGCCTCAATATATATTTCCATAATTTCTCCATTGTGTGAGAGAAGGAGAAGTAAAGGTGAAGAAGAAGAGATGGCTCCCCATATATGGATTATCACTTCTGGTATTCTAGGTACATTAATTATTATGTACTACATAATATTCAAAAAATAAAAAGGCACGCTAAAATTTTCCAGAATTTCAAGAAAAATTAATGTTTTTATATGTTTGCAATTTATGAAGGAAATTGATTCCCTTTTGTTCTTTTCTCATCAATGTTTTAGGTAACATTCTCTCTTTCATGGTGTACCTCGCGCCTTTGTGAGTTCTTACACGGTCTTGTTTTTATATATTTTTTTTCATGAAAAGAATGTTAGCAAATGATTTTTTTTTTTTTTTGAAGTTTGAACACCTGGAATCTTGACCTTGAACTAAATTCTTGTTAGTTCCCTTCTTTGACTGATTGATATTGTCTTATTTCAGACCTACTTTTGTTCGAGTTTACAAAAAGAAATCAACAGAGGGATTTCAATCTATTCCATATGTTGTTGCACTATTCAGCTCTGTGCTTTGGATTTATTATGCTACCTTGAAGCCAAATGCTTACCTTCTTCTCTCCATTAACTCCGTTGGTTGTCTTGTGGAAACCATTTACATAGTCATTTTCCTAATTTATGCCCCAAAGAAAGCAAGGGTATTTTTTATTTTTTTCATAGAAGTATTATTTAAATTTTTTCCGTTAAAAAAAAAAAAATCTGTTATTTATTCTTCCTTGTATGAAATCTCTTCCTATATATAGTAATTTTCATTAATTTGGGAATTGCATGTTGCAGATTCTTACTTTGAAGTTGCTTTTACTGTTCAATTTTGGAGGGTTTCTACCCATTCTTCTTCTTACGCATTTCCTCGCCGGAGGATCTCTCCGGATTCACATCGTCGGCTGGTTTTGTGTAGGGTTGTCCGCCAGTGTGTTTGCAGCTCCTTTAAGCATAATGGTGATTGGTGAACATAACCAAATATTTTTCTTTTCTTTTTTCTCTTCCTTTTTATCTTTTCCCTTTTTCCTCTTCATCAATATTAGTCATTGAACTTTGAGCTTATATTGAATTTGGTTACCTAACTTCTAAGTTTTGCAATAAAGTAACTCAAATTCTCTAATAATTTTTATTAATTTGTACTCTCACTGTAGTTTCAGAACTTTGGAGAAAATTTACTGCCAAAAATATTTTTATACAAGACTTATATAATGTGACCTCAAACGAAAAACCTATTGATAAGGTGATATTAAAAAATTTGTAATAAATTGATAACTGATTTTTTTCTTTTAAATTTTTGTAGAGGTTGGTCATACGCACAAAAAGTGTGGAGTTCATGCCAATTACTCTGTCATTTTTCCTCACCTTGAGTGCTGTTATGTGGTTGATCTATGGCATACTCCTAAAAGACTTCTACATTGCTGTAAGTATTTAAAAGAAATCCTAAAAAATTTCATGTTTCTAACTTGCGTTAATTATATTTTCTTTGTTTTGGGGTGTTTATTTTACAAATTAAATTCATAGGTTCCCAACATACTTGGTGTTGCATTTGGGATTGTTCAAATGATACTCTATGTCATCTACAAGAAATTCAAGAAGGACGAGGACGAGGACAAGGAGAAGCAAGTATTGGAGCCTACAGGGGTACAGAATGACAATAAGCAGCAAAATTTTGGTGCAAATTGTGAAGTGGGGAAAGATGTAAATCAGCATGAACAAGTAGAAACTAACAACAATAAAAGCATGGGATCAAGTCATGAAATTCAACTCAGAGCGTCTGCTGTTTGATATACTTAATTAGCGGTGTTGGTTGTTAGAGGGCAACATGAGTGAATATTGGACACCGGCCTGGCCCTGGCTTTTAAGACTTCTTTTATATTTTTAGTGTTGATTTCTGTAAAAACCGTGTGTGAGCTAGTCCAAGGGCAATAATGTTCATGAATATTATACAGTCTGAATGATTATGTGCAAATGCTGGATCATTTAAACAAGGGTAGTGGAGCAGGAGGCTTACCATCTCTCCTTAAAGTTTGATTAGTGCTCCTAAGTTTGAGGTTTGAACCTAGAGATTTTTCCCCTCCCACTTCCAGACTTCCTAATATTGAAGTTTCCCCAATGCTCTTCCCCCCTTTTCTCCTCCATCGCAATTGTAATAGTTGAAGAGACAATGATATTCATTAACAACAGTCAAAGAGGTGATACTTCCTGTGGTAAGGTGATTGCTATCAAGGGTAAATTTGGGTTTCTAATTGTTTATGCTTGTTGAGTAAATGTGCAAAGTTGTGAAACGACTCTAGAAACCTAACCTATGCATAGGCAAATGAAAGGCCCGTTAGCACATATGCTGGAAGTGGATTTTTGGCGTGCGCACTTCAATGCTTAAATGAGCAAATATCTCGATGAAGATGAAAAGGACAACAATGGAGGAGAGGAAGCTTAAATAAGAAAGGGAGAGAGAGAGAGAGAGTTACCTTTTGAATGGGGAAGAAAACCCTTTTTATAGTGCTTAGGTGGCATATTTGTTGATGACAAAAACATGGTTAATCTATACAACTATTGGAGTCTAACCTACAAATTAGTATGATAGAAAGTATGACTATCAATAGAAAGGTGTTATGTGGCAAGAAGATAAAGGATCACCTGCAGAAGTGGTAATGATCTTTGCAAGTGCTAACATGGACGTGGGGCGACCTCCAAGTGTCGGCCAAGCTTGACTTTGTATGTGTCACTATCCTTTATTCCCTTTGTCTTTGGTCACCAAGTGTTGAGTCTTAAGTGCACTTTGGTTAGCTCAGTCATCATTACCAAAGTCAACCGAATAGTTTTGCAAATCTCACCTAAGGTCTCCTTGGATGAGCCCTTGAGAGTTATTATTAAGTTCAACTCAATTAGGTTTCCTCAAAAGGGCTTTTCGTGTCAAGCTTGAGGTATTCTTGAACTTGCGCAAGTTACAACCTAAGTCCTATAGAGTAATAGAGTCACATTATGTGTAAGGAGGACATTGCCTAAAATGAATGGCATTAGGTTATTTATTTGCATGTGTATTTCTTGTAAGTTCAAGCATGTTCTAAGGGTTTATAATACACTTAATCAAATTAAGAATTATAAATAAATTATTAGTCCACATGATATAAAAATGTTCATGTAAAAGTGAGGAAACTCACATAGATTTCACACAATGTAAAATCCTCCAAAGTTTCACAACCGATGCCTCAATTGTCTCTTGGAGAAGCTATAGCTTCTCCTCCCACTAATTCTCACTATTTTTCTTATGGAAAACTGTGATGCCTTATTGACAAATTAATAGGTCTTACATAAAGGAAGCTTGTATAATTAGACTAGAATTCTAATAGTATGTAGCTTGGGACTCTTTCAAGATCTTAATTTCTTGGCAAATTGAATTCAAATCAATTTAGGATTGCGATAAAAACCCATTAGTCGATAACAATCTCATCCAAGAAATTACAGATAAAGTTATGCAATCCATCAAGCCACAATATTTGCATAACAATCCTCTACAAACTAATATTCCATACAAAATCTAATCAAATTAAATTTCTTATAGCACGATCATTCAAGACTTGTACGTGTGTCTCTTAAATATATTTAGACAATTAAAAAATTTAGAAAATATATTTTAATAAAAATTTAATTTTTTAAAACTAAGTTTAAAAGCATTTTCCTAAATTGATTGGCTGGATTTTTGTTTAATATAAAAGAGACACAAACTTAAATATTCTCTCTTATGATAAGAGTGATAGTTCCTTATTAGATAACTATAAATCTCCATGTAATTATTATGTAGTTCAATATGTTTGTATATATCTTACTTATTGGGCATCACTAGTTAATAATATCAAAACTAAATAACTTGTACATAAAATTAAATAACATCTTAAAATCTAAGTACTTTTTGTAAATTCTAGATAGAATAATCTTTTTCTTTTACAACAATCAACTTAAGATTATTTTATATTTGCTTAGTTCAATATTTATCTTATACAAATATTCATTATGTTTCTAAAAGTCTATACTCTAGTGGTTGAAATTCACTAATACGTTACTTATAGTAGTACAACATGCATGTAGTAACCAAGTTGAGCATATTGTCCAAAGTATGCTTATAGTTCTGAATAATTTTATAATAAGCTAATCTTTTCGTTTGATCATTTTCATAATCAATATGATTCTTAATTTATAATTTGAACAGTAACATTTATTAAAGAAAATGATACATATATCCTCCTCTGTTACACACTCCTTTACACATTCACTAATTTTCCGTTACTTTTGCTAACTCCAAAGGTACCCAGCCCAGCCCTTTCTTTCTCTCTCCTTTCCTTTCTCCTTCTTGTTGTTCACCGTCCTCACCAGATACATCTTCCTCCTCACCTCCATCCTCATCCTAATCATCTACAACCTCATCTTCCTCTTCTTCATCATCGTTAGTTTCACCAACACAAAGTATGAAGCTGAGCAAGTGGAAACCTGTAAAGAACCTAGATTTGGTGTTGGGGAAGGGGAGAGAAAATGAAAGGATTTAGCGGTTGAAGATAAGGATTTAGGAACCCAGCAATTTGGGTGCATTTTCAGAGCTTCCCATAATCACTCCAAACAAGACACAAAATTTCAAGTTGTTCAATTTCTCCAACTTCCTAGGCAACGAAAGGGAAATTTGGAAAAATAGAGGATGAGATATGAACCACCAAGAATAAGTGATGGCATGATCGAGGTTGAGAGTGATCAAAAGCGTGAAAGAGGAGAGGAAGGCATTGGAACCCATGATTGGGTTTGCCGGTAGAACCCACATTGCTTGAGAACCCAAATCGTGAGTTCTTTGGGTTCTTCGGCAAACCCACAAGGTTGTCCAATAACCCATGATATTGGCTTCTTGAGAATCTGGTGAACCCAAAATGAGTTCCTACAACCCACGAAAGTTCCATTTGTTTTCTCTCTCTCTAAAAACTCCCAAAAATTCCAACATTTCAAACCCAACTCCATGTCTAAAAGAGAGAAAACATCAATCAGAATAGCAAGAGGGAGAAAGGAAACGAGAGAGAGAAAGAAATGGTTGGATGGGTGCATTTGGAGTTAATGGATTAAGTAATGGAGAATGAGTGTGTGTAATGGAGTGTGTAATAGAAGAGGGTAGATGCATCATTGTCCTTTATTAAATCACCCAACAAAAATTTAAATGTAAATAAACTAAAATAAATAATAATAACTTTGTAGGGCATACAATTCTTTCATGTTCCTTTTCTTGTAACTGGCCTGCTCATGAAATGGCCTAAATTCGGGATCTTATTAGTCCTGTATCGGAGCCAGTTTGGTTTCAATCTCAACCAAGCTGCATCCTTTTGCGGCTGTTGTTTGATTAATGAAATGAAGCCCTTTTCCTTAAAAAATTAGAAAAATGAAACCAGTTTGGTTTGAGAAAATGTAAGGAAAAATGAAGAGTTTTACTTTATTTCCTTTTATAATTATAACATAACTAAACAAACCTTTTTCTTCTCCATCTATTTCCTTTAAACCAAGCAAATGGGATAAGGTCCAATACAAAGGGAAGTATGAATATCCAGCAAATTCTAGGGGAGTCTACACTGATATATATATATATATCAAAACTCAAAGAATTACGCAGCGATGGAGACTACTAGGGTTCGAGAGAGAGATGCGGCAACCAAGGCAGATAGTGGCTTCCAGGGGCAGCAAGGGTATCGACGGCGGATTCCGGGTTTCAGTAATCAGTTATTGGGGCAGGTTTCGACATTTTTCTTTTATAATTTTCCAGAGATGTTGACAGAAAAGAACCTTTGGTATCGGTTTCAAAGGTGTGGTAAGGTGGTGGATGTTTTTGTTCCGAAGAAAAGGGATAAGTGGGGGAAAAGATTTGGTTTTGTTCGCATGATGGGAGTGCAGAATGAGTACCAAATGGTGAGAAAGTTGAATGAGATCTGGTTCGGGATGTATAGACTGAGAGTGAAGATGGTTGATTCTCCACGGAAGAAGACCTCAGGTCCGGGGAAGGATTTAGCGTCAGGTACGGTAATGAGAAGGATGAACAGAATGGTGCAACCTGGTCAATCATATGCGCAAGCTGTAGTGAGAAAAGGGAACTGGGTTGCAAAAAATTAGGTACAAGGCGGAATAGCAGAGGAGAAGAAAACCATCGTGTCAAATGAGGATGGGGTTGAAATGAAGATGGGGAAAATTGATGAGACAAAGGAGGTTGGATACGGTGAAAAAGAAAAGAGTCTGGACAGGAGGGAGAGACATATAGGGGAACAATTTCAAGAGATTATCATTGATTTTTCTCCAACGGATCAGGAGATTCAGTGGTTGGAAGGGAGTATGGTCGCTGTTATGAAATCCTTAATGTCATTGACAAGTATCCAAGAGAGGATGGATGTGGATGGAGGGCTGATCACGTTAACACCACTCGGAGGAAGAGCTGTGTTGCTTATTGAACGTGTAAATGGTTACCTTTGTGACTATATGGAGCAAAATAAAGAATTGATTGAGACATGGTTTGACGATGTTTCACCATGGGCAGAGGCAACGGCACACAGGAGCCGACTGGTGTGGGTGAGGATATCAGGGATTCCATTGAAGGCTTGGAGTGAAAGATGTTTCACCATGATAGGGCGAACAGTGGGTGAGGTGGTGAGGGTACATGAAGATACCAAAGCTAAAGCTGTGTTATGTGAAGGAAGGGTGTTAATCCTTATTCCGGAAACTCAAAAAATATCAAAAGCTTTAAAATTGAAGGTTGATGGGCAGTTGTATGAGGTGCAGATTGTGGAGGAGGAATGGAGATCAGACTTAGATTGGTGGCTATCGGAAAGGGACAGGCGGAGTCCGGCGGCGGCATCATCGGAATATCCCTCTCAGAGTAGTGATTGTGGAGATCATGATTTTATGAATACCGAGATTTGCGGCGAGGATGAAGTTGAAACTGATATGGAGCTGGTACAGGAGGAGGCACTCTTAAATTCAAAAGGGGATCCGGTGGAGGGAGACTCACGGGATAAGTCCGGTTTTCAAACAGAAATTGGGCTGGAAAATAGCAATGGGCTGGGTATTGATAATGGGCCGAATGGGGTGGGTGAATATTATGATAGTAATGAGGCACATGACCCAAATCTAGAAGCTTCATTAGGTGAGGTGGGGCAAAAGGTTGCAGAATTTTCGGGTAAAAAATACAAACAGATAGCAGAATGTTATCCTGCAGAAATAATTGAGATATGCAAGGAGAAAACGGAGTGGGTGACTGGTCGATCAAGGCAGAGACGGTTAAAGCGGGAGAAAACCCAACAGAGGGCATCGGGTTCAAGACAAAGGGAGCGGCAAGAAGTTAGCAGTGAATCCATTTTAGAAGGCTGCATCATCAATAGGAATCGGGCGATTCAACGGGAGCTAAATCTACAAGAGGTAAGGAAGATGATATGCAATGGAAGAAAGCTGGGTATGCAATTTGAGGGCACTGAGGAAGAGATGGAGCTGCGGCTGTTGGAGTTGGAAGAGCGGGATGTGAGCAAGAGCAAATAGGGGTAAGTCTCGGGTAGTTCTGGGAGTGTTATGGGTGTGGGTATGTGTTTTTAAATGAAAGTTGTGTCCTTTAACGTTAGAGGGTTAGGGGGAATGATGAAGAGGAGGGAGTTAGCAAATCTAGTTCGGGTAGAAAAACCAGATTTGTTGTTTGTTCAGGAGACTAAACTTGAGAGTGTAGAGGTGGGTTTGTGTAAAATGTTGTGGTATGATGATGATTTTGGTTGGAGCATGAAAAGCTCGGTAGGAGCTTCAGGAGGTCTTCTATGTGTGTGGAATAAGTCAAAATTTGTCAAGTTGGGGGAATTTATGGGGGGTAGGTTTTTGGGGTTACAAGGGGTTTGGGGTGTAAAGAAGGAGACTTGTGTGTTTGTGAATGTATATGGCCCAAATGACAGAAAGAAAAAAGGTGAGTTATGGGATGAGCTTCGACAGAGGATTATGGATGAGGGTGGTCGTTGGATGCTTGCAGGGGATTTCAACACTGTTCGATGTATTGAAGAAAGAAGAGGAAGGACAGGGGAGAGCGCAGATATGAAGGATTTCGATGGGTTCATAGAGACAACAGGTCTAGTGGATGTTAAGTTGGCAAATCGACAGTTTACTTGGTATAAACCAGATGGTAAGGCTATGAGCAAACTGGACAGGATATTGATGACTGTGGAAATGTGCAGTATGGGTGGTGAGTGGGTGCAGCAAGGTTTAAAAAGAACAGTATCTGATCACTGTGCAATAGTGTTGAAAACAAGGGAAACAGAATGGGGACCTAAACCGTTTTGCGTATTGGATGTATGGCAGCACCATCCGGACTTCAGAAAGGTAGTAGAAGAGAAGTGGAACGAGAATGTGGTGAATGGTTTTGCAGGATATAAATGTATGCAGAAATTGAAACTGTTGAAACAATTTCTTAAGGTATGGAATAAGGAAGTTTTTGGGGATGTAGAAGCCTAGTTCCAAAGTGTTGCAAACTCAGTAGCAAGGCTTGATTTGAAGAACGAAGAGGGTGCTTTAGACGAGGAGGAATTGGAGGAAAGACAGCAAGGTTTCCATGAACTATGGGAAATTATGCGAAAAAGGGAAGTTATTTGGAAGCAGAAATCAAGAAGTAATTGGGCAAAATTGGGGGATGCTAATACTCGATTCTTCCACAAAGTTGCAAATGTTAGAAAGGCACATAATAGTATTACTGGGCTTTCGTGTGATGGCAAATGGGTTGAGGAACCAGAAATTGTCAAGAAAGAGGTTGTTATGTATTTTCAAAGATTATTTGCTGAGGAATCATGGTGTCGCCCAAAGCCGGTTGGTGTTGGTTTCAATCGAATTTCTAAAGAGAAGAGAATCTGGTTAGAAAGACCATTTTCTATGGAAGAGATTGAGGAGGGATTGAAGAGCTGTGAGGGATCAAAAGCACCGGGGCCAGATGGATATAATTTCAGTTTCCTCAAATTTGCATGGAATTGTATGAAAGAGGATTTTCTGAGATTTTTTGAGGAATTTCACCAGAATGGCAGGTTAGTGAGAGGTTTAAATTCATCTTTCTTGACTTTAATTCCTAAGAAGATGAATCCTGTTGAATTAAAAGATTTTAGGCCGATCAGTTTGATTGGTAGTGTGTATAAGCTGTTGGCAAAGGTGTTGGTTAATAGGCTTCGGGATGTAATGTCGGAGATTATTAATGATACACAATCTGCTTTTATTGAAGGCCGTCATCTGGTGGATAGTGTTCTGGTTTTAAATGAGGTGGTGGAGGAGGTGAAGCGCCGCAAACAGCAGGCTTTTATTTTTAAGGCTGATTTTGAAAAGGCGTATGATTGTGTAAATTGGTCTTTTGTGGACTGGATGATGGACAGATTTGGGTTTGGTGTGAAGTGGAGAGGATGGATTTGAGAATGTCTCTCAACGGCAAGAGTCTTGGTTTTAGTTAATGGCAGCCCCACGGCGGAGTTTATGATGGGAAAAGGATTAAGACAAGGAGATCCATTGTCTCCATTTCTTTTTCTGATGGTTGCAGAGGCTTTAAATGGCTTAGTTAGAAGGGCCGAGATGGAGGGCTTATTCCAGGGTATTGCAGTGGGTACCAGGGGATTAACTATTTCTCTGTTGCAATTTGCTGATGATACTGTGATTATGGGAAAAACAGATAGTGAGAATATTTTCATGGTCAAAACCATTTTAAGATGGTTTGAGCTAATGTCTGGGTTGAGGATCAATTTCAGTAAAAGTAGTGTTTCTGGTTTAAATGTGTCCCAACGGTGGATTCAAGGGGCGGCAAGTGTTTTGCACTATGAAGTAGGGTCAATTCCTTTAATGTAGTTGGGTATGCCTGTTGGGGGAAAGAATGGGAGTAGTAAAATGTGGGATCCGGTCATACATAAATTCCGAGTTAGGCTCGCTGCCTGGAAGTCTGCTGCATTGTCTGTTGGTGGTCGCATCACTTTACTTAACTCGGTAATCTTTGCTCTCCCTATTTTTTACATGTCTTTATTCTTAATGCCAAATTGGGTGGTTGCTAAGTTGATTAGTCTTCAGAGGTCCTTTTTGTGGGGTGGGGTGGAATTAAAGAGGAAGATTCCATGGGTTAAGTGGGATTATGTGTGCACTAGTAAGAGGAAGGGAGGTCTTGGTGTGGCAGATCTGCGTCGTAAAAATTGGGCACTTTTAGGGAAGTGGTGGTATAGACTAGGTGATGGAGTAGTGGGATTGTGGAAACAAGTGGTGTGGGAGAAGTATTATGGGGGGAGGGAAGAAGTAGATATTACAACAGTAGATACGGTTCAGGTGTCTAGGATTTGGAGGGACGTTATTAGTATTGGTTTGCATTCTAGTAGTTTAAAGAAGACGTTGGTGAATGGCTTTAAATGGGAGGTGGGGGATGGTAGTTGGGTACGTTTCTGGAGAGAGGTTTGGATAGGGGAGAAGCCTTTGAGAGAATTGTGTACTCGATTATTTGAGTTGGCGGTAAAAAAGGACGGTTTAGTTAATGAGATGGGGGTTTGGGAGGAAGGTGGTTGGAGATGGAATATAGCTTGGAGGAGGGGGCAATTGGGTAGAGAGCAAGATGAGGAGCTAGGGTTCTGGGAGACTATAAATAGAGCCCAAATAAAGGCAGGTACTGACGACTGTTGGCACTGGGTGCATGGTATAGATGGGAAGTATGTGGTCAAAAATGCTTATGAATTACTAGCATCAACGGATTTCATTCTGAGTGATCACTTTTGTAAGTTAATTTGGTGCAAATTAGTACCGGATAAAGTTAGTTTCTTTGGATGGCGATTATGCCTTGATCGTCTTCCAACAAAGTGGAACTTGCAAAAGAGAGGAGTGGTTCTGGAGGGGGGTTTGGGGTGTGGATTGTGTAATGAGGGGATAGAAGATGGTAATCATGTTTTTTGCACATGTCCGGAAGTGTGGCTGATATGGGTAAGGGTGCTGGCTTGGTGGGGAATGGCGTCTGTGTTGCCAAATGTAGTGGGGGGAGTAGCAGAATTTTTCTTGTTTGGACTGGGTAGGGTGATAGGAAAGGAATTGGCATCTTGCATTTTCCTTGTTACTTCCTGGTATGTATGGTATTGGAGAAATTGTAGAGTGTTTAAAGGAAATATGGTTCGAAGGGATGATTTGGTGGAGATGATTCAGGCCAAGACTTTCTTCTGGATTAAAAATTACTTACAGGGATGTGTCTTCTCGCTGGTTGATTGGAAGATCAATCCGGTGGAGGCTGCGGCAGCTATAAGAAAGAACAATACCATGCTGATGGAATACCGTAGGAATACAAATAGTAGGAAGGATTAGGGGCAGCTCACGTGTTTTGTGTTTTTTCTTTGGAATTGGTTGCTGGATGAGTACTTTATGGTTTTAAATTCCTGTTGTGTGTAATTTTTGTTTTGTAGAAGGGTTGGAGTACCCCTTGTATTCCATATAAATTTAATACATTTAATTTGCTGATAAAAAAAAAAAAAACTCAAAGAATTACTTTTATTAACAAAGAAAATTTTTTTAATATACAAATTACAGGTGGTACTTCAACATGCCCTTACATGTAGGCCCTATATCAACACACCCCATTTTATGCAGGCCTGTTATTATGTTGAGTCCTGTCAGGTGGTTTATTATGTGGTTTTCGGACCTTGTGCAGTATAGATGACTCCTCTCCTTCCTCAATTATCTTCTTGTTTCTGACAGCAAGAAGTTGCAAAGCGAAGCAATCGTCAATTCCATGTCTGGATTTTGAGAGTGGAGACCTTGCCGTATAAACTACACCGTTTATTTGCATTGTCCATGTAAGTCGTAAATTAATTTGGTTTGATTTTGATCATGTATGCATGAGTTTTGTTTCAGTATTGTTGTTCATAATTATAGTTGTAAATGAGTCAAATTGAGTTAAATTTTTTACAAAATGAACTTGAACTTGACATTACAATAATGATTCGAGCCGAGAGTAAGTTTTTATTGAATTTAAATACATTGAGCTCAAATTTAATTGGTGAACCCAAATTGCCAACTCAATTGATTACTCAAATATAATTAAAAATTTAAATTAAAATACGATTAAAATTTTAAATATTTATTATATATAATTATTTTTTAATATAGTTGATTTGAATTGAGTTTAATTCAAAACTCGGCTCGGTTCGAACTGATTTTTTGAGTTCAAACTCAATCTTAATTTTTATCTAAATCAGTCGAATAGCTAATGAATAACTCAACTCATTTACAACATTATTCATACTTGGATATTCATTCAAGAGGAGTGTTACATATTTGACATGGGTTCTTGTTTTATTACTGTAGTATTTACACTTACAAAGGAACTTCATTTATTAACACTGTCCTTTTTCAATAATAATGGTAAAGTTGAAAATGGTTATATTTACTAATATTTAAAGGCGATTTGAGCAATTTAATCCAGATTCTCAATTAAGCACTAAACTTTTTTATTGAAATAAATAAACTCCTAAACTTGGTAATTTAAGCAATTTAACCCTCTTTTTTACGATGGACTTAATAACCATTTGTGTTGTACTTATATGGATAAGATATTGACATGTCATTATCTACGTGGTGAGTATTAACCTTATTCATGTACGCAAAGCATAAATAGATGTTAAGTCCACAGAAAGAAAAAGGGTTAAATTGCCAAATTGTCAAGTTCAGGAGCTTATTTGCTTCAACAAAAATGTAGAGACTTAATCGAGAATTTAGGGTAAGTTTGGGAGCTTAACGTAAGTTTTGCCAATATTTAAATAAGTTAAGATGCATTTATTGCATTTTTTTATTAATTAATATAAAAAAAAAATAAAAGTTGACATTAATTTTAACAATTATCTAATTAGATTCATCCAAGTGGTAATAGTGTTAAAATTAATGTTAACTTTCATATTTTTTTAAAAATTTAAATTAACACTAAAAATGTGCAATAAATACACCCTTAATCTGTTTTTAAATATTGGTTAAAAAAACTCTTTTTTTTAAAAAAAAGAAGAAAAGAAATGAAATGAAATAACTAATTTAGACCACCAATATTTAATAATTGAGAGAATTATATCATATACAAAGGAGACGTGTGGTTATGGCCACTGATTATTTTGTCAAGCCACTAAATTTATTTAATTAGACTTATATTTATAATTTTTTTTTTCTTAAACAGAGATTATATTGTTTGAAAATATATATCAATTTATAAATTAATTTTAATTTATGAAGTAATAATATTAATTATTCTATTAATTGTAAATTATTTTTAATAATCAAATCAAATAGAATCAATATGTTTTTGATTAAATTTTGATGATCTTGAGAAAACAATTGGTGGCCATGGAATATTTAAGGGCCGACCAATTAAGTAATTCTAAACAGGGTGAGTAGGCATGGAATTGTTTCATTTGGGTGTTTCAACTTTAAGGGTTTTTTGTAACATGTGCCCTATTTGTATCTTTTTGTAGTAAATTTTTATAGATAAATATAAAAATAAATATTAATTTTAATACTTATATCGCATGAATAATTTTAATTGAGTCATAAATAAATTTAAAATTAATTTTTATTTATTTAATATAAATTAATAGTAAAAAAGTGTAATTAATCTATCTTAAAAAAAAAACCGTAAGTTTAATTAAGTTCGGTAATGCTCTTGATTGTTTTGCATTAATTGGATGAAATGATTGGGCATTGGGCATGTGATTCAGTTGAATTTTTGTATGTTTTGGTTTAAATTTTTGGCTGCGGAGGTTCCAATAAGGGAAGAATGTTTTCATTTTTTTGACATATCTACCACATGTTCCAATAAACCCAGTTGGGTTTATATTTTTATTTCGGTTTGATTTCGGAATATTTTATAAAAATTATTTCCACACAACATTTTACTAAATTTATTTTTGATGGCGAAAATGTATATTTATTAATCTATTTAAATTTAATTAATATTTCATATTTTTTTATTAATTTTTTAAATATTTTATATATTATAAAATAATAAAAAATATAAAAATTACCGCTACAATCACAATTGCAATGCAATCCAATATAACATTTTTAAATAAGGTTAAATCTTCAATTTGATCATGAACTATTGTACGAATCTTTAATTTGGTTCTTAAACTAAAAGAATCCTTGAATTGATCCTTAAACTATTGTATAGACCCCGATTTGGTTCATATTGTTTACCAATTTACCTCAAACTAGTCCTTTTGTACAAAAACCATGATGTGTCTTATTATTAACGTGACACGTGACACGTGACACGTGACACGTGACACATGACTGTTAAATTACTGCTTTTCGTCGTTAAGTTACTATTTTTCTCTATTAAGTAACAAACATGTCAATTATTTTTGTATGAAAAACCAATTTGGGGCAAATTGGTAAACAGTAGATACCAAATTGGGAGTCTGTACAATAGTTCAGGAATCAAATCAAAGATTTTTTAGTTTAAGGACCAAATTGAGGGTCTATATAATAGTTCAGGACCCAAATTGGGAGTTTAACCTTTAAATAAAAGTAGTGGGCGCGGACGGCATGGACGGTTGCCGCGTCTGTCCTTGATATAGGCTTGAGGAGCCTCAGGCATTACTCTGGATTCTGTTCAGTAAACACCCCTTTCCTTTTCAAAATCCCACCTCCTCTTTCCAGATTCAAACCTCTTTTTCTCGTACAATAAATATAATTGCGACATATAATAATTAATCCCCCACAATTTCAAAGATAGGTTGCTACAATGGCACATTTTTTTTATGGAATTAAAATTTTATTATTGAGAACCAGAAGGACCATGCTACGTACATAGAGTTGATGATTTTCCGTCTCCCTTCACACGACACTAATTTCCTAGTACTCTCTGTTTTTTATTTATCTGTTTGTGTTTGATTCTATATTTAATTTTAAGTGATATTTTTACATAGTATAAAAATAATAATTGAAAATTTTATTTTTTAATATGTACTACTCATTAAATAGTTTCATTTGACAAAAAAAAAATTAAATTAAATTATTATTTATATATTATATAAATGATATAATATAAAATTAAATTATCATTTTTTTTGCCGTTTTTAAAAAATCTTATATATTATATAAAATTATTACCTAAAGTTAGGCTCCTATATAAAAATTAAAGCGGAAAGATATTTAAATAGGATCCGAGGGAATAATAATTAACCATGCATTTAGTTCTCATGCAGAATCAGCAAGTGGTCCTTCTGCGTTTTGTTAATGCTTCATATCTTTTTTTTCACGGCCACAGCTTCATATATATTTAGCTAGCTGTTCCTCTTCCTTCACTCATCCCTTTTAATTAGAAGGAAGGAAAGAGCAAGAGATCGAGAAGCAAAGAAATGGCCTTCATTTCCACTCATATCCCTTGGCTCGTCATTTTTGGTGTTCTAGGTATACATATCTTTGTATACTCTTTGAATATTAATATATCAGTTAGCTTATGTCGTCTAATAAATCTTCACAAGTTTAAAGTTCAAATATTGAATTAGGTTGAAAGAGATTATTTCTTCATACATAACCTATCATCAAATATATATATATATATATATATAGAGTGCTAATTCTTTTTTTTTTTTTTACTGATATGACATGAACGTCAAAATCCAGATTTCATTTTCGTTTGTTGTTTTTTTTTTTTTTTTTTATGTATTGATGTGTTAGGCAACCTTTCCTCGTTTGTGGTTTTTTTGTCTCCAATGTAAGTAATGTCATTTTTGAGCAATCTTTTTTTGTTTTTTAAGATTCAAAATTAAGAGTTATAAGCTAACTTTGGCTGTGTTAATTCTTTTAGACCAACTTTTTATCGGATATGGAGGAAGAAATCAACCGAGGACTTTCATTCTATTCCATATTTGACTGCCCTCTTTAGTGCAATGCTTTGGATCTACTACGCATTACTCAAATCTAGTTCAGATGCTATCCTTCTCATCACTATCAATGGCTTAGGTTGCATCTTCAAGAGCACTTACATTGCTATCTATATCACTTATGCCCCAAAGCAAGCGAGGGTAAGTAAATTTTACATTGCTTCATAGTTTGGTGCATGTATGCAGGGACGGAGCTAGAATTTTGGGTGAGGGGGGGCGAAATTTTCCCCTCGCCTACCCTCCTTTCCCTTCCCTTCATTTTGATAGATAACTAAATTAAAAGAAAATAATAAAGTAAAGGGAATTCCCTCCCCCCATCCCATCTATTCTCCTCAATTTGAACATATTATTAGTCATAAGTTTTTAGTTTGATCCATAATTTTTACATAAAAAATTATATCAATTGTATATTAATCATTAATTTTATGGGTAAATATATTACTTATAACATATATATCAAACTTTAAATTAATTAACTATTTTTAATTATTTTTGAATAACATATGATTCAAAACCCTTAAACAAATAATATAAAATAGTAGGAAAAATGTTAATAAGTTGGATCAAGAAAAAATTATGAAAAAATTATTTCAAAACTATATTGTTTAAAAAAACTCTAATTAAAATAAATAGACTAAATTAACATATTTTTTGGATAAAAATGAAGAATATATTAGTATTTTTTTATAATAACTTCTTAGTATCATGATTTTGAAGTATTTTTCACCTTATTTTCTTGCAAGTCTAGTAAATGCATAATAATCTCATATAAAATATAAACTTTCAATTAGAATATCAAATCTAATTATTGAATTGATAAAATATAAATTATACAAAAAATTACAACTAATGTAAAACTTTTTTTCATACCCAAATAAAATTATTTGTTTTAAAAATTGATTATAAAGAAAGAAATGGTCCTTTTATGTAACTCTTAAATATATTTTTTTAAATTTAAAAAGGTCCTTATAATTTAACCATCAAAAACAAATTTTGTACTAATTAAAAATTAATTACTAATTAAAAATTAATGTAGTAAATTAAATATTTTTCAAAAGCTTAGGGGTGGCTGCCCGCCGCCCCCCTCTTGTCCTATGGTAGCTCCGCCCTTGCAAGTATGCAAAACTTGCTCAAAACACCACCTGACCATTGTATAAAAGAAAAAGAAAAAATCATTGGTACACCCGGCCAATTGACGCAACTTTCAATATTATTTTTGTTTAGTTATTAAAAAATAATATAAATATAATTAATTCAGTCAATTTATGCCACCTATATACATAGTTGTATTTTTAAATTTATTTATTTTTAATTTCATATTAAAAAATAATAATTTTTAATGAATATATTATATAGTATGGGCTAATTAATGTCTAAGAAAAAAAAACATATATTTATTTTCTTTTTACTAAAAATGAAACGATTGAATTTATATTCTAATTATCTTGAATTGACATTGAAAAATGCAGATATCTACTTTGAAACTACTTTTTCTGTTCAATTTTTTGGGATTTTGCTCGATGTTTCTTCCTTCGTACTTCTTGGTAAAAGGATTGCAGCGTGTCCAAATCGTGGGATGGATATGTATGATTTTCTCCCTCATGGTCTTCGCGGCACCTTTAAGTGTTGTGGTGAGAATAATAAATCTTACATTTGGCATACCTCCACTTACTAAAAGCACTTTCACAGTGAGTGGGGTATGTCACTTATTAAAGATGCACTGTATTTTCAAGTTCATGTTTACAGATTTTTTTCCAAGAAAAAAAAAATATACAGTATACGTGTGTGGTAATTTCTTGTGTTCAATGTGCAGAGATTGGTTATTCGCACCAAAAGTGCAGAGTTCATGCCATTTTTTCTATCATTTTTCCTCACCCTAAGCGCTTTTATGTGGCTCTTTTATGGCCTATTGCTTAGGGACTGGTATATTACGGTAAGTGCATGCCCTTTTACTAGTTAATTAAAGTTTGAAATTAAACTTTTTAAGTTTTGAGATTTTAGGTTCCAAATTTAGTAAAAAAAAAAAAACTACAATAATAATTCTTAATTATGGCTAGCCATACCATAGGAAGAATAAAAAGCCATTTAAGGCACATCTAAGAAACAGATAGCCGACAAGCTTTAACATACCTAGAATTAAAGTTTAGTTAAATTAATGGTACTTTTTAACTTATGCCCTAGGGTATAAGTTAAGAGGCAATAATTAATGTACTCTTTTGACTCTCTTAATGCACATTAATTAGCATTAATTAATTGCTCCTTTACATGTCTTAAAGGGAAATTCAATGCTAGAACAACCTTAAATTAATTAATTTTTTTTCTTAAATTAATTAATGTTTTTTTTATTATGTGTCTTTAAGGTGCAAGTTAAGAGTGTAATAAATATATTTTTTTATAATTAAAATTTTCATATAAATTAATTATAAAAAGATATATTTATTACACTCTCAGCATGTGTACTTAGGTATAGGTTAGGAAAACCCTTAATTAATTAATCATAATTGGCCAAGTTAAAAATAAAACCTTTTAATTAATTATGAATTTATCTAATCTGTATCCTAAAGGTACATGTTAAGGTTGTAATAAATATATCTTTTATAATTAATTCACATAAAAAACCTCTAAAAGTTGACATTTATTTTAACATTATTGATACGTAGATGATTTTAATTAATTGATTGATTAAGTCAAAGTCAATGTTTACACTTTTAATGGAAATTAATCATAAAAAATGTTTATTAATTACATATTTAACTTATATTCTAAAGGTATAAAATAAAAAAATCCATTAATTATTTATAAATTTTTCTAATCTGTACTTTTAATATATAAGTTAAAAGTATAATTAATATACTTTTTAACCATTAATTTATATTAGAAAAAAAGTTGATATCAATTTTAACACCAATACTATATATCTTAATTTAATTAGTTAGTGATTAAAATTAATTAATTCTTTTTTATATAAGTTAATAGTTAAAAGGTGCATTAATTATTTTCTTATCCTTTATTCTTATATATTAAAAAAGCTCATTATTTATTTATCATATCTATTAGATGATGAAGATTTCGTTTTGACTGCAGATTCCAAATGTCCCTGGGCTCATACTTGGGTTGCTTCAGATGGTACTTTATGTGGTATACAGGCCCAGAACAGAGCACCCCAACACTGATAACAAAACCAGCTGTGATCAAAGCAATGAGAATAAGGTATAGAAATAATATTTGATCGGAGTGGAATAAGTATACAGTCTTTCGACTTAAACCTCAAAATTACTATAATTATGAAGTTCAAATAATATTTGCCAATAATCTAGGTTATAATTTAGTAGTCAATTTCCTTTTGTGAAAAGTAAGAGATCCTCAGTTTGAGTCGTATGGTATACGAGTTTGAGTCGTATGGTATACGACTAACGTGAAGTAAAAGATAATAGAGAGTTACATTTTATTGTATAATTTAAGACAAAATATAATAATAATAAAAGAAAAAAATGTTTTTGTTATGAAAGTGTACTTACCAGACACTCTTGTACTCCTATATAATAATAAAATTATGTTTTGTTGAGAAAAAAAAAAAAACGATGTTAGCTTCATTCAGAGGCAAAATAACATTTCTGAACATATATTTTTTGGGATGACACGGATATTTGGGCCTTTGGCCCAATTGATCTCATGACTACTTGTAATTCATCTAATTCACATACACCCGTAAAAGCCCCAGCTTCAATAATGGCAAGTGTGGTTCATTAGATTTGCTTGCACTCAAATGATAATTAAAGACTCAAACTCGAAGCTGTATTCTCAAGCATGGTTTGAATCCATCTATACTGCTTGAGCCAAACCTCTCAGTTTTGAATATATATTATGTTGCTTACTTGCATGCCTCAACCCTCAGGTAATTTTCAATTTATTGCCAGTAATAAAATTTTAATTGAGATCCGGTTCTACAGTTAAGAATCATATCATCACCATATACGTAAAAGCCCAGCTTCTCACGCAAGGTCCAACAGAAAGGCTAACTAAGAATATATACCTCACTTTGAGGAAAATTATTTTAAGTGAATCATGCGAAGAAAAGGTTATTTTGATTCAAACAATAAGATTACTTAAGGGGCTATGATACATTTGTTTTTATATATGCTGAGGGTGGGAGAATTTGAATTCAACTCTTTTGACAAAAAAAGTGTGTACTTTACTAATTAACTTAAAGGGTTTTTTTAATTTGTATTTTATCCGTGTGTTCTTAGAATATAAGTTAAGAGATATAATTAATGTATTTTTTATTATTAATTTGCATGAAAATAATAAATGTTAATTTTAAATTAATCAATTAACTAATTAAAAACATTTAGAATATAAGTTAAAAGATATAATTAATGTATTTTTTATTATTAATTTGCATGAAAATAATAAATGTTAATTTTAAATTAATCAATTAACTAATTAAAAATATTCACGTATCAATAATGTTAAAATAAATGTTATTTTTTTATATAAATTAATTATAAAAAATACACTTATTATACTCTTAAAGTACATATTATAAACCCTTAAGTTAAAAGTTTAGGTAGATACTGCCAAAATCCATTTCACCCTAAGATGTTAAACTCTAATGGGGAAATCTAATGTATCTAAATTTCATTTATATATATATATATATATATAAAGGACAATTAGCACAACTATATATCTATATTCATGTTAAAGGTAGGAGGAATGGGTTTGGTTGTGGTCGAAGGTGGTCCTCCACTAAAGGTTAGGTGGTATCGTGGGCTGGGAGTTAGGGTTTCCTTATTTTTAAAGATATCCCACATTCACCAGTACTATAACTTTTATTTTTTTATTTATATTTTTAGAATGAATGGTTATGAGGTAGTGCTTCACATAAAATAAGAACTAATCCGCGTTGATACACCCTGCGTTCGGATGGCAGCCCTTCCCCTTTGGCAAAAGCATTCAGAGAGTGCTTCATATAATATATAGAGTATCTTTTTACCGTCTAAACTCCATTAGGTTATTGTAATAAGATAATCGTTAAATTGAGGTAGAAGCCCCCACATTTAAGAGGTTTTACTTGATATTCAAAAATTAATTATATATACTTTGATACAATTTAACTTGTACAAAATAATTCTGTAATATAAGTTACTATTATTGCTTCCTCTGTTTCAATTTAAATGTCAGTTTTAGTAATTCGTTTTTGTTTCATTTTATGACTTTCTCACATTTCAATAAAATGAATAAATCATTAATTGCAATATTTCTAATTAGTAATTAGGCCCTTCATTAAATGACTGCAATACTTATCTAATGTTAAAAGGGTAAATTGATCACTTTAATCTTAAATATATATCTCTATAAACTATAATTGAATATATTAAATACTCAATCAGTACTAAAATAATAAGTAGATTTTTTTTTTTCATATTAAAGATTTGAGAACAATTTATGATTTTATTTATGTTACCCTTAAAATGAGTAATAAAGATAAGAGAGACCTTTTTACAATTGGATGGATAACTAAAATCAAGAGATAATGATAAGGTTAACAAAAATATTTATTTTTTTAATATATAAAAAAATAACTATTAATTTAGAACAAATTTAAAATAAAAATATACTTATTATTCTTATGGAAATAGAGGAAGTACATTTCTTTTTTTTTTTTGTTCTCTCCTAAAATTAAATACAAATTTGTTAACAACTTAAGTAATTCAATGATCATCTTCTTTTGCGGGAAGTAAGAGATCCTAAGTTCACGTCGTATGACATGTGGGTGAAGTGGAATAAGGGATGTAAGATGGTTGCCTCCAATTGTGCAATCAAGATAACAAAAAAAATACAGATTTTAATCCATGTGAAATCTTCTAAAACGTCATATAAATTGACTGAGAGGGAGTAACAAATTGGATTTGAATTTTGAATAGCTCATCATGGATTTGTACACATAAATAAGTATTATAGATTTGTTAATGATGTCCAGAAGGCTTATTTTAACATATGAGCTTTAGAATGGCGTTTGGACTTTTGCACAAATTACTTAACCAATCAATAATTGATTGCTTGATCAGAAAAACAAAACAATCTTGTAAAGAGAACACAATCAAAATCATTGCAGCCACTTAATTAACAAGCATTTTTTTGTTCAAAAGCAAAATCGAAGAATATTTTTAAGGATTTTTTTAATTTATATTCTTAAAACATAGATTAAAAGTCTTTTTTTATAATAAATATGTATAAAAAAAATAAAAAATTGATATTAATTTTGATATCAAATAAATTTAATTGAACAATTGATAAATTAAAAGTTGATTTTTATTTTTTCAATACAAATTTATGACAAAAATTATATTTAATATACCCTTAAAAATATAAATTAGACAAACTGTTTATCCAAGTCCGGTAATGAACCAACGGGAGATAATGACCGCTCCATTAATGACGGTCCCTAATCTTTTCAGATAGGCATAATTAGGTCCCTTGACTATGTAACTTTGGCAATTGTGTCACTAACAATTAACCATTCTAAATTGGTTCAATTTGGTATTCCTCATTTCACTTTTTAGGAGAATAATAGGAAAGTAACAAAAATTGCAACTGAGTTTCTAATCAATCTTTTTATTTTTCTTTCTATTTTTTGGTGATTAGTATTCCTATTTACAAAATAATAATGAAATTCAAAACTTTCATCGTTAAAATTAAGATGTGTGTCAATTTTAATATCATGAAAATTTTGTTTATTTCTTAAAGGAAACAATTTTTCACAACATATTAATTACTTCATTAGTTCAACTTTTGTAGGTAGAGTTTTTTTATTCAATAAAATAATAATATAATAATTAATTAATAAAATTTTATATTTATTCCTAATTAATCACTACTTCTACTTAAATAAGCCTTCTTATTTAAACTTATATGTTGTATTATCTTTTTAAAAAGGTTATATAGGAATAAGGACATTAATTGACATTTTAAAATGTTGAATATCTCAAATTAAAAATTAAATATATTAAAATTAAATGAAGAGTGTAAAATATTTTATCAAATAATTAAAGGTTTGATTGTCCCTACTATGTGTGTATATATATATATAGATACATATATTAAAAACTAAATCAGAGATATAGGGACATACTTCAGAATAAAATTTATTTATCTTTCGCCGACCGTAGAGAAAGAGACATCAACATCATTCACACGCAGGGTTTGTGCACAAGATTCATTTCCATCTATGCATTATTGGTGCGGAAGTAACACATGCTCAAACACGTAACACAGAGGAAAGAATTGCTAAGAGATCGGTGCCAGTAAGGGAAGTATACGTCGTAGATTAATTAAGATGGTTTGAGAAGGTTGGAAGGGTTGTTCGTATCAAAGTTAAGTATTGCATTGCGAATTATATATGAGTTAGAATAGCGCTTATAGTTTGTTAATAAATAAATTCTTAACGTTGTTAATTAATAGAATATGGAAAAACCTTATATATGTTCCCACTTGGCGTCAATCATGCAAAGTCTCTCCCCGATTGTCACCTTGTCCACATAATATTTCCTCCCAAAAAACCTACACCAGAATACCATAAACAAAAAAAAAAAAAAAAACCCTCGATTTTTTTTTCAATTTTTACAATTATATTGTCCTGAATAAATTTTTATATATCTTAAAACTAATTTATTTTTTTGTAATTTTAAAGATACACCTCACATATGGATTTGTTGTATTAAAAAAATTATTTTTTTTATATATTGACTTCAATATTTTAATTTTCAACTTGATTTAAAAGATGACATTTATTAATAAGTTTAACTCATGAAGTTAAAAGAAACCTCCATCAAACTACACCACATTAGAGAGATTGGGTTTAAATAGATTATCAAGTGTTTAAATGAAGTGATTAGGATGCCCCCAACTCACTTTAGAGAAAAAGTAAAAGGGTAATTGATGTATATATATTTATATGTATAATTACAATGATAAATTACTAGCTAGTACTAATAACTCAAACTTAAATTTTAAATTTTAGAGGTCATCTATATTAGTGTGAAGAGCTGTTATTTTCACCTTAGTTGCTTACAGGATTACAGCTCAGAATTCACTTGCACCATCGCAATTATTTTATCAACCGATAGGTCCGACACCTGTTGCCGTTGAAATGTTTTCTTATTTCTTGCGTTCCGATTAGTCAAAACCATCACAAGTCATATTGGCATCCAAGTTAATTTCCTTCTCTTCAACTACTGGTCAATAGACCTGGCAAA